TTTGGCTATTGGGCTAGCAGAATATCATTAGGAATTATTTCATTGACATTTCTTTTTTTGCCAGTTGTGTTTGATTCTATCCTAGGGCTCTGGGCTATCCAGTTTCCAATTCCTGACCATCCATGGCCCCAAATATTCAGTCTTAGCTTGCTCCATCTTCAAAATGCTAGGGTTACAGGTATACACCTACTCTCCTTGTGTCTTAATGTTTAATTTTTGTTCCTAGCTGAGCAACCCACCTTCAATACAATCTAAGCTATCCATCCACAGTCACTGTATCTTGGGTTAGGTCTGAGATCCAAGTTCACAGCCACTGTCTTTCCTGCTTTGTTTCCCAGAGTTTGGGGAGCAAGATCAAGTCAAGCTGATCATAAAAAGGATTAACTTTTACTCCAGAAAGAATCCCATCTACATTACAGTGAGATGCCCAAAAAAAGGCAAATGGGACTCACAGATGAGTCAAGGAGGAGGTTCTCCTGTGGTGGGATTCAAACCATAGAACTGCCTCCAGAAGTCTAGGTCACTCTTCTTTCCCTGTGCCCTGCACCCTTCCTCAAGAGCACAGCACCCCGCCCTGGTACTAAGGCCCACTTTACTCTGAGACTACTTAAAATATTCAAAGAAATCCATGGTGCAAAATTTTGTAAATGACCGAGACTTAGAGGGAAGTCTTTGCAAAAGACCAAGACTTAGAGGGAAAGGGAAAGGAGAGCGGGTTGGAAAGAGAGAGGTTGTCACTTTAAAATGTGGAAGATTCCTTATAAAGATTCAAATCTCTTGAAGATCTCTATATGTGCCAGCAAAAGTCCTGAAAGTTGGTCGATACTTTCTTGTTGTTGCAGAAGGAAAAGCAATACAGATAGAAAGGCTTGCTGATCACTGGCTGGTGGCTACTGACTATTTTAAACTTTGGTTCAACATGGCTCTCTCTTCCCTTTCAATGCATCTGGATGGCACCTAATGGTTTAAACTGCACGTTTCACCTCCCTGAGTGTCTTACAGTCAGCTCTCTGTTATTGGGATGCAGCTGTCATTTCTTGGCTATGGTCACCAAGGTGATGTTGTTTGGCCACTTTCCTCAATCATGGTGAGGACGGATGCACAGCTGAGCAGAGTGCCTGGTGTCTAGAGAGCCATACACCAGGGTCTTGGAGGACAGGGAAGTCAGCAGAGGAATCTCTGAACCACGTCCCGAGTGCGGTTTAGGTCTGCTTTATCTGCTCACTCTAAGAGTTACTTCAGGACTGCCCCACTAACCGAGAGAGGACCCAAATCAAACTCTGTGCATGGCAAAGCCACATGTCACCTTAGTCACTGTCAAAGCTACCAGTTCCCCTCCCTTTACAATTTCTGAACCTGAACTCTACAGGACTATAAAATATCCACAGAATGGCATCTGGGTTGTTTTTTTCCTATTGCTATGGTAAAATAATCCATCAAAGGCAAATTCAGGGAGAAAGGGTTATTTCCATTCACAGTTCCAAGGTCCACGCCATCGCTGGGGGATGCCATGGCAACAGGAGCTTGAGAGAGCAGGTCATCTTGCATCCACGATTAAGAAGCAGAGAATGATGACGGCATGCTGCTGCTCAGCTCCCTTTCCCTATTTCAGGTCAGGATCCCAGCCGGGAAATGGTGCTACATGCATTGTGCATGTTCTGATTGTTAAAACAATTGAGAGAATACCCCAGAGACCTACCCAGAGATCCATCTCTCAGGTGATTTTAGATTCTGTCAAGTTGATACTTAAAACTATCAGAAGCAGCTAAATAATGGAAACCACCAGCAAACTATAACCAGGAGAACATTAGAGCAGAGAAAGAAGTGGCGGTCTGTAGGCTCACAAGTGAGGACATCACATCAGAGATGCGGGGACCTATAAGCTTCTGCTATACCCAAGCATTGCTCCTTGACTGTCTAGGCCTTATTGGAGAACTACTAGATGATTGTTCCTTCTTCCTGTTCCTTCTATCCTGTGTCAGGAATGACCCCAGTGAACCCTTTGGAAATACCTTTAAAAACTTGATGCAGGTACTGAAGAGATGACTCAAAGGTTAAGAGCCCTGGTTGCTCTTCCAGAGGCCCTCAATTCAATTCCCAACAACCACACGGAGGCGCACAACCATTTATAATAAAGTCTTGTGCCCTCTTCTAGCATGGAGGTGTATATGCAGGCAGAGACTATACAAAATATAAATAATAAATAAATAATGTGAATGAGTGAATGCATCTTTTAAAAGAGGATTCAGATTTCTTTGAATGTTCAAGAAGTAAAATATAATCTCGGTCTATAAAAATGTTTTATTATTGAAGAGGGAATATAAATGAACTCAAAGTCAAATCCCTAGAATATAGCAGACCAAACTTAAGAATTTTTCTTCTTAAGAAGAAGAAAACAAATATATGGCTCTCAAGCCTGATGTAGTTATGGAACAAAATAGGAACTATGTGGACTTCAGGTGTATGGTCCCGGCACGCGCTGCTGAAGTCAACTACAGCCTGAAAGCAGCAGCAGATGGTGCGCGGGGCATGAGGAAGCTCTGCAAATGACGATAAATGCCATCTCTGGACGCTGGCATTTGAATTTTACATAAATATCATCCGTCACAGAATATTGTTGTTATTTTTCCTTTGGGGGAATTTAGTTTATTTTGATTGTTATTAGCTATAGGGCTGCATCAAAAAATAGGAGCCCAGTTTTGATTTGCAAACCATTTCTTGCTTGCAAGGGTAGCAAAGAAATGAACATGCCAGTGACCGCAGTGCGTATGTGCACACTGAGGAGCAAATGTGCTAAATCGTCTCTGTCGGCAACTCCTACAAAGAAGGTTCTAAAGGCTTTGCAGGGGTAGTCTCACCACACAAAGATGATGACTTTCCAGGGCGATTATGTAGAAGTGCAGAAATTATTACAATGCATAAGCTCCTTGGGGGCAAAGAGTGCATCGTATGCATTTTAGTTTCCCTAACTTGCCTTACAAACCATCTACATTCAATTTATTTTTTTCTCAATTGAATGTGCTTTAATGAGTTTGTTACAAGCCTTCTCATTACATGATAGTCAACCCTTGAATGCTAACTAATGACTCAAAGATTTCAGAACAATTTAGATCAATATGCTTTTAAAAGGGTATTAAAATATTATCTGTCATTAACAGTTGATTTGTTCCTGAACAATTTCAAGATGGAAAACTCTAACCTGTTTTTGAAGATGTCTTCATATAATTACTGGAAAACTAAGACCATTTATTTCTTTTCATATCATGTACCATAATTCCAGTTGGTACATGGAACTACTCAAATTCAAATTCAAATTGAGTAGTACAAATACACTACTCAAATTTCAAGCATTCAAGCACATTATATAGCCATGTATTGGAGTTACATTCAAAAGATTAATGGGTTTTAGGCAGGGACACAGATGACCAGAGAGATTAAAAAGCCTGAAAACCCACATTTGATTCCCAGAATCCAGATTAAAAAATCTGGGTGTGGTGACATGAATCCATAATTTCAGCTCTCCTAAGGCTGCACAAGAGAATGAGACAGGAGACTATTCTGGAAACTTGAGAGCCAGCTAGCCTGGAATACACAGCACCGTGGGAACAAGAAGAGAGATCCTACCTCAAAAGAAGGTGGGAAGAGAAAACCAGCTCCCAAAAGCTGACCCTGCACACGCCCATATCCACACCCACTCACAACATATATAATCCAAATACATCCAGAATAACAATTAATACCAAGTTTAATTGGTTCTTGACTCAACATTCCTACTCCTATAGATTTAAGCACGACTGTAACTTAGAGTTGGAACTTGGGACTGCATTGGCAACTATCCCTAGCACGTCAGTGGTCCAGGCTGAGGAGCCCAGCGCAGTATGGTGAAAGGTAAGGGAACGTTCAATCATTTTTCAGTTTCAGGAATCTCTCTGGTACCTCCAATGCAGGAAAGACTTACCTTAAAGCATTTTCTATAAAGATATTCTCAAAGATAAACTAGGTTCATCAAAATACATAGAAAATTGTCACCTTCTCTTTTTGTGTGTGTCTCTCTCCCCCTTCCCTTGCTCCATCATTTCCTCACATAAACACAACTCCCCCCCCACACATAAGCACATGCATGCATACACATGAACATAGTTTTTTCTCACGATGACCAATATATAATAATGTTAAAATCTTCCTTCCATTTTCACCATACTGCATTCTTAGCCTGAGTATCTCAGCTAACAGCTATAAATTGGGTCTCACAATACAACCTTCTTTAAGAATCTACAGGAGATATTATAATATTGTATGGAACTATTCAATACTAAGAAATGAGAACCTAAAAGCTATCTTTCACTTCAAAGTATTCTTAACTTTGTTTCTCAGAATAAAGAATCTGCATGCGGTTCCTGTTTTCTGTGAGCCACAAGAGGCCAGGGTGTCAGGGCCCACATTTGTCTTCAGATGACAAGGCCAGAACTTGATAGTCAGACCACCTCAGCCAGTAACAGTGTAAATCACTCACACATCTCCTGAGGCCCATCAACAGAAAAGAAGTGAGAAAACACAATTAGCATTCACATCAACCTCAGTTGTTCATGGTCTTCCACTACCTTAGAGCTAAGGCAGATAAAGGCTAAATGGTTTGCCAAGGTCCCTCTGCCAGCAGCCAGTGTGTGAAGTGAGCTTGAGTCCCTGGAAAATCCTGTGACTTCTGAAAGCATATGCAGTCATCTCTGGCCACTAGAAAACTCTTCTGAGCTAGGGAAACTGTCAGCTCTCCTCTAAGATCTGTGCCTGTATGCCTGAGGCAAATTGACTGGGAAGAGCTTCTCCAGGCACGGTTGTCACCTCCTCTGAATAGAGTGGGTTGACTCTCAGGCAAGGAAAACAAATGAGGAGTTTCTGGCTCAGCGCTGAGGAAAAGTTGAAACCTGATCAGCTCTCAAAGTGTCTCCTTCTGAAAGTGACTGCTCAGGCTAGCACTGTTGAGTTTCATTAAGTCAGGATCAGTCCGTCACAGTTCTGAGTCAGTGCCTGCACATTTCGCTAAATTCCAGACAGGACTAAACCAATCATTTTACTTCAGAAAGCATGCTGTGGAAACGGGGATTCAGTCTTTTCGGAGGTGAAACCAAAATCTGAGCCAAGAACAGATCCCCTTTTTGTATTCATCACTGGCTTGACTTTCTTCCATGCTCTTCCTTCCCAGGCAAGAGCCACAGAATCATGGGAAAGGGAAAGCGGTCTCCTTCAAAGATGCAGTTTTGATTGTGACCTCTGATCTGGCTACAATTTCCTCGGCAACTTGGGCTGCTGTATCCAGGAAGCAGCAGCAAACTGAAGGGAGACTTGAAGGCGTGGAGAAGAAAGTGGACAGAGAATGAAAACGACAGAGAAGAAATGTGATAGCTAATGTGGAGAGCAGAACCCAAGAAAATTTACAGATGTTTATCCTCGATAATGAAATGGAAATCAGGGTGAGTACATTCTGAGGCTCTGAGCCTTCACTGTGACGAGCTAGGAAGAAAGAAGAAGCCACACGGATGAGAACGGTGGTAAGAGAGCCAGGTCAGTGCTGCTGCTCACGCTCTGACCCATTCCAACGTGAATTATCATGAGGAGTGGTACCACTGAGGGACCCTGGCATACTTGGAATTTCACCTGAGCAAAGACTAGCTAAGAGCGTTTTTGAAATTACCCAGTGTATTAATCAGGGTTCTCTACAGTCACAGAACTTATGGGAGAGAAAGAGAGAGAGAGAGAGAGAGAGAGAGAGAGAGAGAGAGAGAGAGAGAGACATATAGTGTCTCAGCTGGTGTTCTGTATATGCTGGAAAAAGTAGGCTTCAATTTCAGTGATGGAATGGATAGGCTAGCAAGGTGAAGGCAAGCAGGCAAAAAGTAAAACCTTCCTTCTTCCATGTCTTCATATATGCCGGAAGCTTCCAGAAGAAGGTGTGACTGGATCAAAGGTGTGTCATCTTTCTGCCTCAAGATTAGGATCCTGTGTCATTACCACACCTTTACTCTTCCATCCCTCCTCCTGTCTTTAACCAAGGTCTGACCCCTAGGAGTGGGTCTAAAGGAGGAAGACATTACGGAAAGGCTAAGGCACATGTATCTGATTCTTTGTGATCTGACTTGAGTTGAATGGTAAAACAGTTGTTTGCTTCATGAGCCTATGAACGGAGCCTAGACCATTCTAGGGCCCTCGATCAAGGCTCTATGGACATGCACAATGCCTGGTCCAGCAGGCTTGTACTACTCATAAGCAGTCAACAAATATTCCCCACAGTATTTTCAAAACTCCAACCCATCAGAATATTGTAGCTATCCCCTAGTAAAAAGGTGTCCTAGTTAAGGTTAGATTGCTGTGTTGAAATACTATGACCAAAAGAGACTGGACGTAGAGGGTATTCGGTTTACACCTGCTCATGGCTTTTCATCATGAAAGGAAGCCAGGGCAGGAACACAAACAGGGCAATAACCTGGAGGCAGGAGCTAATACAGAAGTCTTGGAGGAGTGCTGCTTACTGGCTTGCTTCCCATGGCTTGCTCAGTCTCCTCTCATATAGAAACAGGACTACCAGCCCAGGGATGGTACCACCCACAACGGCTGGGCCCTCCCCCATCAATCATTAATTAAGAAAATGTTCTACAGATTTGCATACAGCCCCATCTTACAAAGGTATTTTCTTAGTTGCAGTTCCCTACCCTCAGATGAGTTTAACTTATGTCAAGTTGACATAAAACTATTCAGTTCAGTAGAAAAGGGAATTCACAACTAAAATCTTTTGCCTGAATACTTCAATCCATGGACAGAAGAATCAGGGATCAAATGGAGTTGAAGTCCTGATACCAGTAGCTAAGGGAGGACCTTGAGGATTTCATCCTGTATCTCAGCAACTGTGTTGTCCTGGTGTCCAACCCCAACGTTGAGAACAGTACCCCAATACCCACATGCCATTGATAACCTCTGAAGGTCCTCCTTCAATTTAATCCCCCAAAAGTACATGCTTCCAAAAATGGTTTTAAATATTCACAGGTGACAAGATCTATTCTTGATTTTCTTTATTGCTGGGAATATTGCTCAGTTCAGAGCATGGCTGCTTTCACTATATACTTCTCAAAAATGAAGACCATTAGAACACTGAGAAATAACTGTCTAGGGTATTAAGGTTTATTAGAAGCTCTGTGTCTTTCAGGTATTCTGTTATGCATTGCTGCTGATGGGAGCAAAAGGACTAAATGGGTATCTAAGGATACTAAGTGAAAGTCTAATTTGATCATGACATTTCACTGTTCGTGTGTGTGTGTGTGTGTTCAGTTTAAACTCTCTAGGATTACTCTCACCACTGGCATCCTGAACTGAACCACAATAGAAAAGACAGCGACAATTTTAGAGAGGGCTTATAGTAGAGGGACAACAGCATCTCCACTGCAGTAGCAAAGATGATGAACTTGGGTAGCTGAGGAGATCAGAGGGGCAAGAGGAGAAATAGGAACAGAAGCTCAGAGAGGGGAGAGTATGATGTGTAACCACATGAAGAAATGGGATAGACTGGCAAGGAAGACATTCAGTGACATCAGAAATGAGGTCGGGCAGGTATGGTGGAACATGCCTAGTATCCAAGCACTTGGGAGGCTGAGGCAGAGAAGAGAATGATGAGTTCAAGGCCAGCCTGGGCTGCACAGCAGGACTTTGTCTCTAACTAGTTGGTTAGTTGGTTAGTTAGTTAGTTAACAGTTGGACAGATAGAAAAGACAGATAAATATTAGCAGTAAAATATTGTAAATTTTTTTTAAAGAAGAAAGAAGGCGGACTTTTTCTTAGCGAGAGGATGGTTACAGTTTTCAGGTGGACACTGAGCTTTCTGACATTTCTCTCTGCATCTCAAAAGCTTCACAAAAATTACTGTGATTTCACGAGTGTACTAGGAAAAGAGTCCGTGATGCCAAACCAACAGACAGAATTTCCAGGAACAGCAGAGCACTGTTGCTTTGAAATTAATCCCAAGAAATGTGACTCTAACTCATGGCCACCTTCTGAAATAATGCAACCCAAATTCTTCCTAGTCTCCAAATTGCAAATAAATCATTTTCTTATCACGAGGTGCTAATTCAGCACTGACTCACTTTATCTGTATCAGGATGTTTGGAAAGGCAGGAGTTCTTCAACCTTGGGCAATAAAATAAAGATGTTACTAACAGGAACAGCCTGTCGGAGAGTGAGATGTGCAGGGCCCCCGTCTGATTTATCTCTAGTAATATCTACTGGAGAGACAGCGGTGAGAGTGAGCTGGATCGCATAGTCTACGGTGCTTGGCTCCAAAAGGTGTTTTGGCTCATTTTCCTGCTGCTTATACATGCTGCAAATGAGGAAGTGCCCAGCTGACAATTTTCTCTTCTGATTTATAGGAAAGGTCATTTAATCTCAAGTAAGCATTTTTCTAACTATTAAATCCTCCAGTTCTCTCCACCCCTTTCTTGTCCTTTCATGTTTATCTTGGTGTAATTCAAGATTGTGGGTTGTATCTATAGCAAAGGCAGCCAAAATGTGCTAGTGACTTTAGGCTTGAATATATAAATTGTAGAATGAGGTATTAATCTATGATTTATACCTTATAATATGTATTATTTATAGATTTATATGATTTGTATGGTGAAGTATTATTCTATGAAGTATAAATCTATGATTTCAGAGTTTGAATGAAAACACAATAACACTATATACAAGATGCTAAAATCAAAGAATTAATAGATAAATTATATTTATCTGTAAAAATCATAGAATTAATTAATAAATGTTATTTGTATCATATATAAATATGATATACATACATATATATATATATATATGATTTTTGAGACAGGGTTTCTCTGTGTAGTCCTGTCTGTCCTAGAACTTGCTTTTGTTGGGGAATATTATCTTCATGTGTGTTATTTTTGTTTATGCTGCATTTGATTATCTGTGAAGCTTTGTGTCTTTGCCTCTCTAAAACACCTGATGGTCCTAATAAAGAGATGAAGGGCCAATAGAGAGGCAGGAGCAAGGATAGGCGGGCCTAGCAGGCAGAGAGTATAAATAGGAGGAGGCCCAAGAGAAAAGAAAAAGGAGAGTGAGGGAACAAGGGGAAGAGGACACCAGGGGCCAACCACCCAACTACACAACCACGGAGAAAGAAGTAAAGAAAAATATAAGGAAGTAAGAAAGATAAAGCCCAGAGGAAAAAGGGAGTTGGGATAACATAAGGTAAGAAAAGCTGGCTGGAAACAAGCCAAGCTAAGGCCAGGCATTCATAACGAGGAATAAACCTCCATGTGTGATGTATCTGGGAGCTGGGTGGCGGGCTCCCAAAAAGTCAAAAGAGTAAAACCTCACACAACATACCCTATTGATAAGGCTGGCATCAAACTCAGAGATCCACCGACCTCTGCCTCATGAGTACTGGGAATGAAGGTGTGTACCATCACTGCCAGAGTTATCAATATATTTTTACCATACATTTATGCAAGTGTTAAAAAATGAGGCTGGATCCGCCAAAATGCACAAATTGTATAAATATAGTCTCTTTGTCTCACTCATTAATTTCCAATAGCTTTACATTATTTTCATTTACTATTCACTTAAGTTATTAAAAACTGCCTGGAATCATTACCATCACCATGTGTAGTACTGAGGATTGTACCCAGGTTTTTGTGCATGGCAGGCAGGCATTTTATTTCCAAATACTTAATGACATTATCTCCAATTGCCAAAGACCCCAGGGATAGAAAAGACCAAAGTCTTTAAAACAATTATCTTTCTTAACATTAAAGCAAAAAATTCTTATCATTGGAGAAATCCCAGAACTAGTTCACAGTAGCGATGATATTTATCTCTTTTCAATAAAGGTGCATCATCAGGAAGCCAGAACAGACAAACAAAAGCAAAGGAACACTCTTGCACTTGCTCTCAAAATTTTTTTTCTGATGTGTCCAGTACCTCACATTCTCTAACACTTTCTATATTAAAATAGTAGATCACACCTGCCAAGAAACCAAGGTGATAGCAGAAGGTCGCGGGAGATCTCCGCTGTTGTGTAATTGTCTGCCTAGAAGCGGGGCTATCAAAGAGTAAGACCTGCAACTGGAGCAGCCATAAGACCTTTCCGTGATGGTCCAGCATGTGTACCTGTCACAAGCGTTGGTAGAGATGTCATCCCTTCCCAGAAAACTAGAAATGACCTGGTAACGCCTTGCTTGCTATCAAATCTCAATAGAGCCCCAGATGGTCTCCCAGTAACACAGGGCTTTGTTATTCTTCTTCATGTTCTAATCTAAAGGCTTCTTTTTAATCCAAACAACTGCTCTCAAATGTAAATTGAGCTCATTTTAAAAGCTAAATGCATGAGGTTCTTCACTCTCAGACAATACTTCATCCTGTACGAATATGTCCCTTGTCCTACTTTCCCTTGACCCAGTTCCACCAAAGCAGCTCAATTCAGCAATTCTATTAAGACCATTATTTGTCTCATGTTTGACAAGGCTACTTGGCTTGTATATTATCTGGCGCAGGTAGAAAACCTCCCCTAAAAGTATAAATTCCCAATAATAATGCTGTCCTCTTTGACATCCACACTGATCTTTCTTCATTTGAACCTCAGAAGATCTTGTGGCTTCTGAGGTCATTTCCCCCTCTGTGGTTGTGCTACTGTATCAGAACTAATTTCTAGAGACTCCTTAAAATAATAATTTTAACCTTTGCTGAATTAAACTAATGTCCTAGTGCCTGAGAATTTGGGCTGTTCTTTAAGGAATGGTGTTGTAAAACAGTGCCAGAGAGACCTTGGCACACTGGAGCCAAGGGACCCCACAGTGGGTTAGAGACAGATACTCCATACAGACAGCACAGTGCTCACATGAAGGGTTTCTTTATTGGGAGGGAGTGAGAAAGAGGAGTGAGAAAAGGGGTGCCAGCAGCTATGTGGGAAGAGAGAGAGATACAGAGATGTAAAGAGAGACAGACACAGAAAAAGAGAGGGGGCTGTGGGAGCTGGGGAGAAGGAAAGAGAAAAAGGAAGAAGAGAGAGAAAGACGGGGTTCTGCCCTTTATAGGGACAGGAACAACGCATGTGCACAGAGACCACACTGCAGGCCAGGGCAATGCCTGCATACTGGGCACGCGTGCAGGAGTGAAGCACTCTCCCAAGCGGTGGGCAGGTGGCCTGAATGCTCACAAATGGTATACTATCACTTTAACTTGCTTTTTTATTGTTTCCAGTGTTAAAGCAAATGAGTCTATTCTTCTAGCCATAGCCAACTAATCTTATCTCAGGCATTTAGCCACCAAAATCAGTATCTTGAGACTAAAGACTAGACGGGAATCTGGTATCTCTTTTTCCCTGGTATGGGCCAGAAATGCACCTCTGCAGCAAACAGGGTCTTTAAAAGAGGCTACTGTCACCCTGACAGACACACAGACATCCGAAAAACATAGGCTCACTGTGGCAATGTTTGTCTTCTGAACACACGATCCTAAAATTAAATGACCCGGAATAGTACCTTCAGTCAAACAGGGATTCCCCAATCCAAAAATGCTTTTGCTTAACAAAGAGCAAGCACCCAAGGGGATTACTGCTTAGTGGATCTTCTCAAGCGGCAAGGAGACTAGAAGCGTGGGCTTCAAAGCAAGGCATCTAAAAGCCTTACCAAACCGAATTCACTACGGGATGTATTTCCAATAAAGTAATTGATTGTAATATGCCGTAAATGTCTGCTTCTTCGTCACTATACATAAAAAACAATTGCAACAGTAACCCAATCTAGGAGAAAAAATATTGCACATTAGAGCTTTAAGGTGATGGAAAAACCTTTTAAAATGTAAATAGCACACATTTGGGTTCAAGAGATGTATGATGAGTTGAATGAAAGACTTTCAAACATTACTCCGTATCGCATTAGAATGCATTTCTGTGTGGGAAGTGAAATAAAATTATGATTTTCTCTGGCAAGAAGAAATGACACAAGATTTCCTGTTGGTTTAAAAACAAGGAGCTTTTTTTTTTTCCATTTTAACAGATAATAGCCCTCTGGTGGAAGCCACCCCAGCCGCTAGTATCCATATACCCAAAGAGTCTGGAATGTTCTGGTGGAAGTTCCACCTCAAGCCCAGTCCCCCACCTCTCTCCAAACCCCGCCACATCTTAGAAAATCTGCCAAACACAGCTACTTCGCCAGAGCTGCTAAAGACCACTCCCACAGGGTATTTAAACTGCACTCAAGAAAAAAACAGACACGTGGTTTTCCTGTCCCCCTTTTCCTTCTCATCTCTGGGGGGCTGGAAAATCATCTGGGAGTGTTTGATCCATTAAACCTGGACTTTTTCTAATTCAGTCTAATTTGGTCTGATTTGGATTGCTGCATGAGTGCAGAGGATTATCGGGGTGCAGAAACTTTTCAAATAGAAGCAAATTAAGATGGAATTCACACTCAGATAAATTTAAGAGTTCTCTGAACATTTTATTTTATTTTAAAATGCATTTAGTATTTACCGAATACTAGAAATCATGTTTGTTGGAGCATCTGAATTTATAGAACAAAAATTTTAAATGATGTCATAAAAATGTGTAGGATGACCTAAATCTGAACTGTTATTGTAACACACTTATATCTTTTGAAAGGAGAGAGAGTGCCGTTATCTTTACCTGAAAGCTGACTGGAAAACCATTTCTGAAGCCTACTGGAAGATTAGTCACAAAAGAATGACGTCTAGAAGGATTGATTAATTAATTTTATATTGGATATTTTATGTCAAATAACCCTACATGAATAATTTGAAAATACCATATTTAGTCTATTTGCATTAAATCCAAAGCAGTAGATTCAAAAGCACTCAAGTCACTGTTGGCTTAGCCCCCTGTAGTTCTGACAATACCCATGAGGGGAAGAACATTAAAAGAACTGCTTGACCAAAGCACAGAGAAAACCAACTGAAACAGCACTTACAGAGAAGAAATACAGCTATGAACACCCCACATAAAAGAGTATTTGAAGACATCAGAAGAGATTATCTGGTACAAAGCAGGGCAGAATCTGACAGTCTTCAGTTGCTGTATTGCCAAATCCCTCATTTTAACTCCTCCTTTCAGGAACACATCAACTTGTAAACAATCATTCCCAGGGGTCCGGACCCCATGCCATTGTCTCTCCCTACATGTCACCACATAGAACTTGAAGTAACATAAAATTTAGTCTAGAAGGATTAAATAATCTTATATTGGATATTTATGTCAACTAACCCACTATGAATAGTCTGAAAATGTCATATTTAGTCCATTTTCACAAATGATATCCAAAGCATTCAATCCAAAATAACTCAACCTATTGTTAGTTTAGACCTTGGTAGCTTTGAAAATACTTATAGGGGGTAAAATAGAAGAACTATAACTCACTCACTGCCCCTTGCACAAATATACACTCTCTTAATCTCCCACCACTACCTCACACATACGCATACACTCGTACGTATTTATATGAACACAACCCTTTCCTTTTCTCTATTTTTTCTATATTTTCCCATGGGAGTAGTCTATGGTCTGAATAGATACTGATTTCTATAGCATGTGTAGGATTTGTGTTGTTTAAGCCACCCAATCAGTAGCAGTTTGTTATGGGAACCAAAGTAAAGCAATATAGAAACTTTCCATTCTTCATCTCATGATAACATGGGGCACAGGGAATTCAGGTTCAAGGGTGTGGTTGCTTTGGAGGCCATCAATCTGTGCATCTGTTCATTGCTTGCCTGCTGCCATAGCTTGGGAAGATGGTGTTTACAGTGCCGTTTGATTTTGCCTAGAAAGAAAAGCATGGGGCTACTTGGCTCTTAGACAATCACAAAATGATGATGATAGTAATTGGGCCTAAGTATTTATTACTTCCTGTCTCAGTCCAACATATCTCAACAGTTTTATTCCAGGAAAAAGAGAGTAGCAGATCTATTGAACGAGACTGTGGCCAATAGTCCATTCAGCTGCTCTCGCACCTAGTACACTTCTTCCTCTTTTCACTGATCAACTTAATCTTCTTTCTGAATTGTAGAAGACATTATCTGGAAATTTTCTGTCTCTCAATAAGTGCCTCTTGGTTCTCCTCCTAACTCCAAAAATCTACTGTGACCATTGGTTTTTTTTTGGTTTTTTTTTTTTTGGTGTTATGGTTTTCCATCAGGCCATATGAATAATGTGTTATTTATTGTTGCAATCTTAAGAATGACAGCTTAATTCTGTTCATCCACCCTTTTCTCCCCACTTCATGCCAGACCCAGTTCAGAAGCGTGTATAAACACAGTGAAACCTTTATCTGTGAGCCTGACACCCTAGAGGGATGACTATGAAAATGATTGCGTAAATAATAAGCATTTGATAGCAGCAAGAAAAGAATCATATAGCAGGGGAGGTGGGCAGAGGGTAAAGGAGCTGTACAGGTGCCAGAAAATGCTTCTGTAAGGAGGACACATGTTGCTAGAGGTTTCTTGTCCCATCCAATCCCACAGCCACATTTAAAATAACCACTCAGAACCTAATACTAATTTCAAACTGTTTGGCCTTTTAGCTCAGGCTTATTATTAACTAGCTTTTACAACTTAAACTAACCCATTTCTATTACTCTATATTTTACCATGAGGCTCATGGCTTGTTACCTCACATTTTACTTCTCCTGTGGCTGCTGGCATCTTCCTTGACTCCCCCTTCTTTCTCCCAGTATTCAGTTTGGCTTTCCAACCTTGCTATATTCTACCCTGCCATAGGCCAAAGCAGCTTCTTTATTAACCAATGACAATAAAATCTATTCACAGCATACAGAGGAGCATTCCACATCAGCAGCAGTTTGTGCCTAAAGAGGATGAGAGAGCAAATGAGTCCATTTTGTGGCAGTAGAAGCTGCAAGCGCAAAACCCTGGAGCCTGAGGTATGTATGATTAGGCACGGTGTATTCAGGGAACTTATTGAAGGATAGTGTAGCTTGGCAAGTGACTCATTTTGAGGACTAGGGAGATATGAGATCTTGAAGACATGAAGAACACCTAGATACTAAGGGACCAAGATAACTTTATGGAATGTGGGATGGGCCAGGTTTATATGTCACTAAAGAATAACAGATGCTGATATATGTATACATACATATATACATAAACATATATGTATCTACATATATATGTGCATTGAAGAATGAGAAAGAGGGGTGGCAGTAGATGTTACGTACTCAAAAATAAAGACAGAATAGATCAAATTTTGGCAACATAAACACAGCACAAAAACATTCCAAATGAGATCAAGTCTAATATGCTACTGTGTTGTCTGCAAGCTGGAATCTGAACACAGGACAAGGAGGTGAAGCCAATCCAGGACTGTCTTCCAAGTGAATAAGGACACCTCACTCACTTCACATCAAGGTGCCACAAAGGCTAATGCAACCCTGGGTAAGTGATGAACTTTTCCAAGGGAACAGATCACTGCAACTTTTTCAGGAACCGAGTGACACTCATCAAGAGCCTGAAACGATATGCTTTTTCATGTTGTGTCAGTAATTCTTTCCTGAGTCCTTTTGCATGAGAATAATTATAACCTGTCATCTATATCTCCATTATCGTAGTTTGTGGCGTTCAAGACTTCCGGTTGTTCTTTCCCTGTCACTGTGTCCAAAGTTTCCTAGACTTAAATGAAGTGTGGAGAAGGTAGCTCATGGAATTTACCCAAAGATGACTCGGAATCCCAAAAGACGTCTATATGCTGAAAGCAAAGGCCTTCAGATGAAGACTGAAAACCAAAGACTATAGACAGTCATAAAAGGTAAGGTGAGATGAGATGGATAAAAAAGCAGTAAGTCTCAATAAACAGTACTGTGCAAAAGAGCCCAGCGCTCCTCTGCTGGGTTTCTGGGTCTAGTTACCAGTCTGGAGGACACCCTCATGTGGCATCCCGAGGATTAGGAACAGCATAGCCCTTGCTCTTACACTCTCCCAACTATGACCTCAGAGAACAGTAGATGAGCCATCAATCTGGTGAGGAAGTTCCACATCACAGCTTAATTTCAGTCCCTTAAGGTTAGCCCCATGCAGCTCCATTTTGTATTCTTGGAATATGACTCTGTTCTGCTCATGAAAATAGAGTGGCAGTATTGTTCCTCGGAGAAACTATCTGCAAAATGATCCATCACCTGTCCTCAGAAAAAGGGAGCTGTTTCCTAGGTAACTTAGATGAGGTAAGAGCTATTGCCTAAATGGGTCAAGTTCGGATTAAGGCTCAAGATTTCCAGTAAGAATATTCTCTGTTTGGGGAGAGACAAATGTACATACCAAATCAGAATTGAAGAAACTCATATTAAGTATCACCAGGGCCTTACCGTGCAATTCAGCGGGGATTAGAGTAGCCCTGCTTTTGATTTCTTTAGATTGATGATTTAACAGTACTAATTTGGCTACTAGGTATTATCAGCTCCAGGCTCACCTACAAACGTCTGGAGACATCAGACAGCACCAACCTGTAGACTCTTAGAGTCTCGGTGAACTTGAATTATATCTGGAGCCACTGTTAAAAGCCGGCAACTGTAAGTATACCTAGCATGCCTTGTCCGTGTCTTATGAAAACCACATTGCAGACGTTTGTCCATAGTTTTGCCTCTACGTTCCCCAGGAAGGACTCCTGACCTACGCAGAGCCTTTGCTGTGTGCTATGTTCTCCCAGAGAATTAGCATGAAGCCATTCTTTTTCCTTTCTCAGCGTTTATCCAAATCTCATCTCATCGCGCCTCATACAAAACAGTATAATTGAAACACTGATGGAACTCAGTCTCTGGGGATCCTACCACTGTGAAGGAAGAGCAGATCCCCGAGGCTCTGTAGGGAAAAGACCCGCACCCATGCCGTGGGTGCCAAATTGGCCAGCTACATGCAGTTCACGTAGCAGAGAACTGAGGCAGAGGTCAATGTAACATTCTTTAGCGTTAAGAAGACAAAGTTAAACTTTGTTGACTAAAATTAGTAAAATAAATTAAGTAAATTAAGGAAATTGGCCATTTGGTGAATTATTTTTTCAGCAAATTAGCCCAAACTGGAAATAATTGGTAATAAAGAAGGAATAGGGGTTAGCAAAGATTTAATAAGTGTCCCTAGGGGGTCACCCAACAGTTGCAAATGTTGCTTGTTATGGTAAACAAGCCTTTCACATTTTAAAGATCACTTTTAAAGCAATGCAGGGGGAGTTGGAGTTCAGATTATAAATGTGCACCCACAGGACAGATAGAAGGGGGAAGACTGTTCTATGCGAACCCAAATGGGCTCTGGGAGTAGGAGATAAAACTCCAGTGACAGTGTTGTGTGTGACTCAAAAACTGCGGTCCCTCAAACAACTGGAGTAGAAATGACAGTAAATTACTTCACAAAGCAGCATTCAAAATTCCAAATTGGATAAGAGATGTTCCAGATAAAATATAGGGTCATGGGACAAAATCCTGCCCAGGGCTGGGAACGGAAAGCAAGTGGAAACAGAAGGGGTGTGTATAGAGGAGTGAGCTGGAGCCACTGAGAGGCCGTGGAGAGAGGCTGATCATTTCGTCATCAGCTTAGAGTGAAGGAAAGATGGTCTTGTAGAAGTCAAATAACAGAGTTTGGTATCTTGGCAAAGGATGAGTAGCTCCCGCATCACAGGGAACCTTACAGGCCATGGGCTAATTGACTATTATTATCAAGAATCTAATTGATTTCTCTTTGGGTTTAGGGTCTTTATTTCTTTTTGTCCAAAAGCAACAGAAACCACCAAAGTTCTTAAATGTGGTAGTAAAATGATCCGACGTGCGTTTTAAAGCAGCAATATAGTCCCTGGAATGAAGGGCCAAGGGGGAGACTTTGAACAGATAAGGTGACTGGAGCATTATTATTCTGGTCATATATCAGAGGTAGGGGCATGGGCTATTATGGTAGCATTGGAAATGAAGACAAGGAAATGTTCTTTCTCAGTAGAGAGAAGGGAGGTTTGATGATGCCTTCTGGGTTCCGGCATTATCAAAGTGCTGGAGGGAACCAGCTTTGGAGTAAGGAAAATCACAGCCAAGGGCAAAACTTAGTGGGGTGAGGGGAGCTTTCTTTAAACCATCTGTTCAGTAGTTTGTTATAGGAATAGGAATTTTCCTGGTCCATGTACTATACAAACAAAAGAAAATTCCAGGAAGTGTCATAGAATCACACAGTTTGTTCCATGGAAGATGGAACTTAGCATCACTTTCATGTAATCTGTTTTGGAAGAAAGGAAGCTCGTACCTTTGTGATGAAGGAAAGTTTGTATTGTTGCAATGCAACAGAGCTTTGTTGAGTACCTTTGGATTAAGAAACCGACCCTGAAATCCTGAATCCATGGAAAAGTGCTGAAAAAAGCAATGAAAGACTAACCACCATGGTTTGTTAATGAGCTGATAATTTCAGTGATAGTATCTTAATGGGGAGTTGGACAAGGGAAAGAGGTCATATTTCATTGTATATGTGCATGAAATGATAATAGTAATAATAAAGTAATAGAATCTTTCTGAGTAGACAAAGTTGATTTTGCTACAGAAACCTGGTACACAATGAGCAAAATCCCACATGTGTCCCATGTACCGGCCTTCATGCAATCTAATATTTCCCCACACGAAGAGAGAATTCATTCAACTCTGAAGTTACAGGACAGTCATTCAGCAGCAAATGACAGAGATGAGGACCCATTCAACTCCAGGCTGTGGCTCTCCAAAAGATGCTGAGAATACTTCCAAAGGGGAAGAAAAACAAAGACATGTTAATGCCTCTGTTGTGGAGGAAGCAAATACCATTCAGCAAGGAGAGAGTTAGCCACCCTCTCTGATGTATGTAGAGCGAGACAGTCAAGGAGGTCACCATAGATACATCTGGCTGTATCTGCTTGAGCTAGCTGTATTGAACAGATTGCTACAGGGTGTGGGTATTTTTCTCTGGTCTCATTATGTGTGCATAATGCCAATTAAATAGCAGGAATGAAAATTAGAAAAGAAGATATCTGTCCCCGCTGAGTTTAATCTCATTAGTGCAAAGTCAAATGATTAGTCTTAAAAAGGGTTCAGACTTCAGTAAAGACAGTAGCAAAGTTGTGTCTTTTGCATCGCACCAAGAAAAATCCGAGTATCTTATTAAGATGAAGACACTGGAGCCATTCCTGTAATAAAATGAAACTATTAGTGGTGGTGAGTATCAATGTGAATAAACACCACAGAGACCTCATAACCCTTCTTAGACTTCAAACCATAGCTGAGAGCTACCAAGTCAACCACTTTAAGGATAGGCGTCATGTCTCCATAGATTGATTGCAAAACTAGTGTTCATTTGCTTTACCCTACTAGTGGCTTATATAGTCTCAAAGCATCAGTTTCTTCTGGTAATAAAATCACGGGTAGTTGCAGATTTGTCGCCTAAACCAGACAATGCTTAGAGAAAATGCAAAATGTGTCTGCCAACATTTAGCTTCATAGTTCATTGAGGATTTGAGCAGCTTACAGTAAGCTAACAAGACAGTAGGTCTGAACTAGGCCTCAGGTGGAAATCCAAAGTTCCCCTTCCTTTAGGAGAGATAAGAAATGTCAATAATAATATATATGAGAAACCTACAGCCTGCATCATCCTAAATGGAGAAAAAAAATTGAAGTAACTCCAGTGAAATCAGGAATGAAAGGAACCTGTCCACTATCCCCCACTTCTTTAATATTATGCTTAAAAATTTAGCTGGAAAAATAAAGAAAATAGGAATATTAATAAGGAAAGAAGAAATGAAATCATCCCTATTTACAGATGATATGATATTATGCATAGGAGATACAAAAATGTTTTTATCAGAAAACATCTAGAAATGATCAACAATTAAAGCAATATGGAGGAAATGATTTGCAAAAATCTACAGTTTGTTTATGCACTAATAACAAACATGTCTGGAAAGAGATCATGAACACACTCCTTCACAATAGCCTCAAAGAAAATGGTCATTATAAAAATGACTATTCAATTAAAAGCCATTTACAGATTCAATGCAAATAAATAGAAGTTTGTTAGCACTAACCATGTGATCTTATCCAAATTACTTAATACCTCATGTGTGTAGTTTCCAACTGTGTAAAATGAGATAAAATAATCAGTTCTAAACCCCAGAGTAATTGCAAGGGTTTAATAAGATAGTGTAGGCCCAGCCCCTAGCAAAGGCAAAACCTTCAACTAATGCTCATTCATCCCATCTATCTGGCAGCCTCGAGATAAGAGGAAAGTAGAAAGAACAATAATAATAATATTTATCATCATCATCATCATAATTAACTCTTCCTACCCAGAAAACATTGCAAGAAACCAGAAAGTCATCATACAGCCTAGAAAGATACTAAAAAAGAGGTGTGAAGACACTCCAGGAAATGAGCCAAGCAGAAGGCAGGCCTTGGGTATACTTGAGTCAGTCCCCACAGTGGCAGTGTAGACAGCAGGCCTCAAGCCTAAACCTTGACTTTCCTAGACCAGTACCTACCTGTTACTCCTCTCTAAATATTTACTGCTCGCACTTCCTCTGCCTTTACAAGCTTGCATTGTGTAGTTCTTCACCTAATTATAAAACTGAAAAAAAAAAAACTGTTCACAAGCAAGAAAATCTATTAATTGTAAACAATAGAAAGTAATGTATATTTACAATGGTATCTACATCACATACCTAGTGTCTAGGTAAAATTAATGAACCAGCAAAGAAACTCTTGATAAAAATTGTCATATGGTCTTGTCAGTGCAGTGATCAAATCCAACTAGAGAGGGACATCATGCTGGAAAGTCACCAAACAGGTGCCCTTCCCTTTGGTAGAATGGCCAGCATAGTCGGCCTTCTAGGCTTGGATTCCATAGGACAGTCTTGATTTTAACTATGACCAATGCATGGAATCCATTGCAGAGCCGTGAAAGCCTTGCTGCCCTTGACACTGAGATTTGTAGAAGTTGAAGGTCAGGAGGCTGCCTGATGTGGGTCTAACTGCGGTAAAATATCACTTGTACCAAGAAGAGGCAAGGTGGGATTGAGCTTGATCTTCTAAAGAACATAAGCTAAAGTAAGCACTGAGGCAGACCGGTGTGTCCACACACACACACAAACCTAGCTACAGTTGGAAAAGCATATTGCTCTCTCCAAATAGCTAATAATTATCCGATATTTTATTATAAAGTATTAAAGAGATAAAGATAAAATTTTCCCCTTATAAAGCAAACTGACAAACTATCTTATTACTATGGTATATGTCATATACATTACTACATGGTATATTGATAGAATGGTTCACTTTTTAATCACGCCTCGAAAATCCATAAATATGTTTTCAGACTCTGGCCAGTGTTTAATGGTCTGACTTATTCAGAGCAACAAAAAGTAACAACTCAGGTATGGCTGATGAGGAACAGCTTGAGAGTTACATTCTTTCTTAAATATATATTGATCCTTAGGTCTCAGGCTCTTACAAATGCATGGACACACATCTGCCCCCGAATTAAAGTGACCCTGACCTCAGCCTGAGGAACACTGATTATTTCTCTGGTGACTGCCTGAGAAGGAAGGCAGTAGAGGGACACAGTCTAATGAGGTTTGTATTGACTGTAGAGGAACTCATCTAAAAGTGTCTGGCTCTCCAAGTGCTGGGTGTGGACAGAGGGTGGAGAGAGGGCAGGGGCTTAGTCCCATACCACAGAGGTAGGGAGAAAGAAGGACGACACAGCCTCTACAAAGTGTGTTGGATGTGTCTTACAAGTCACTCAAGCGACCCTAGTCTTGGTTCTTTCGCATGTGTAGCTTCTTTTCCCCCCCTTCTGTTGTTAAAGATCAAAACCAGGGCTTCACACATGCTGAGCCAGCCACTCAACAACTGAGCACTCCAGCCCTACAAGTCAGACAAAAAACAAACAAACAAAAAAGAGCAAAAATAAAACAAAACAAAAACTTAGAAGCTTCTTAAACTTTAGCTCTGTTTTCTGTTTCTCAAGTT